CGGCCGGCGCCCGGCGCCGCGCGGACTCCACTGGGAGCCTCCGTGCGCCGCCGAGAAATGCCAGCACCCGAGGGGGAGGGGTGGGGAGAGGAGAAGGGGAGAGCGGCGGAGCGGGCCCGAAGGAGGGGCAGGAAAAGATGGAGAGCAGGAAAGGCGGAGAAAGAGGCGAGGGAGCTGGCGGGAGACGAGGAGAGACGGGAGCGGGGTCGCGGGAAGTTCCGCTGGCCGGGGCTCTTTCCTGGGCTCAGCGTGGCAGTCCCTCCCTGGCCTAGGGACAGGACTCGCCTTGGCCCACCTGTCCATTGCTTGCCCCAGGTGGGCGTCCAGACCAAGGGCTTGTAGAGGTCAGAGCATCCCAGAAGCCACAACAGGCTTAAGGAGATGAGTTTCTGTGCTGGGGAGGGAGGGGGGGTGTAGAGTGGATGGATGGGGAAGGGGGCATAGGGAGGAGTTGGGGGAGAAGGGGGCATAGGGAGGAATTGGGATGAAAATCAGAGAGCCTACCAAAGACAGCGACCCTCCTCTCCAGGTCCTTAAGGAGACCCTCTCCCAGGCCAGGAAATTGGGCGCATTCTCGGGTCCGCCACTAGTTTCACTAAGTTGGAAACCACTAGCACCAGCGCCTCCAAACCACTAGCTGGTCTCCACATTCCTGAACAGAAAACTGTTGATGGTCTAGGGATAGGCACGTCCTCAAGCAGCTCACCCCAGATTTCCATGGGTTCCTTATTACTGGGGCCCTGAAATGCACCCGGCCCCTCGCCATCCTTTTAAGTATGACACAGTTGGGTTTCTTTCCCAAGTATCTCTTAGCTCTGGTTGTAATTTTCAAACCTAGAACCCTGGCCTCAGGTGCCATGTCTATAAAGAGGACCCTTACACCCCAGCCTGACACCCAAAGTTCATATTTGACACTGACTATTGTTGCCTTTTCCCAGAAAAACCAAAGGTCTATCAAGGTGTTCGGGTGAAGATCACGGTGAAGGAGCTGCTACAGCAGAGAAGGGCACACCAAGCAGCCTCGGGGGAAACCGTGAGCATGAGTCTTTCCCTACTCCCAATTCCTGCTAGGCCTCTTCAGCCCCAGGACTGGCAGGGTTTGGTCCAGACCCCGTACCCAGCTGGCCTTCTTCGGCTGTTCTCATAACTTGTGTCCACTACTCGTCCATTCACCAAGAAAGTCACAAAAAGCAGCTGGGACACATTTATAAATGGGCTCAGGAGCTGGGGGAACCTGTCCCTCACTCCCTCACTGATTTGTATTATAAAGGGGCTCTTGGGCCTATAGGGAGAATGCAGCCCAGTGGTGAGCACAGTTATTCTGGGAGACAGGACTTGTATATCCTCTCATACTCAAAAGAAAATGTCTCTGAGCAACTTGCTTCGTTTTAGAGAGCCCTTCAAGCAGAGAATCCCAGTAGAATCATCTCCCCACCCTTCTTTCTTCTGGAATTTAACCTTCTAGGTCATTATTTATGAATCAACAGTCACTAAAAGTTTCAGTAGAAAAGGGCCTTCTCTGCAGAGGAGACATCTTGGACTATAGAACCATGTCTATAAGGAAGAATGAAGCCTTGAGCATTTCCAGTTATCATAAGCTTGATCTGGGTGGTCCAAGGACTCACAGCGTACATTCTAGGGCAGACAGCATACTGCCCACGTACTTGGGGCAGCAACAGCACCACATAAACTCCCTGTGGGGTTACCCATCACTGAAAGTCCTAGATTGTGCCATTGCTTGTGGCTGGGTGTGCATGTGGGGTCTGACAGCTAATGGGCTCCATTGGCTCCACAATGGCTTCAGTGCACGGTGCGCTGAAACAGGCCTATGGAAGAGAACATGATGCAGGGTGGTAAGCCCAGGTTCAGAATGAGAGGACGGGGTTCAGACCCCAGCTCCTCCGTGGTATATAGCCTGGAGGAAATTATTCAGCCTCTCCTGCCTGTCTCCTTCTTCATCTTTAAATGGTAGCCAATAGGACTTGGTGAGGTTTAAAGTAATCATTTCATGTGAAGCACTTAGGAGATTGTAGATAGTAAGCGCCCAGTAACTATTAGCTATCACTTTTATTACTGGTGAAAAGCAACTAAAGTAAAATTACAACTGAGGACCAAAAGCCAACTATTCAATTATGTTCATTCACACCCTTTGTTAGAGTTGTGATCGGGTGTGAGCTTGCTGTGATGACTCATTTTCCATTGACTGACGAAGTTAGGCCCTCTCTACACAGACTGTCAGCTAGCATAGTAAGACTCACTTCCATCTGTAGAAGGATTTACAGTGGATGTTTTAAAGCAACTTTGCATACTAATAATTTCATTTAGTTCTTATAACAACCATGAGAGGTAAGCAGATTAGACATCTGTTTGCTTCTGTACATCAGTCTTTAGCTGTTACTAAAATGGAGTTAAATAAAAATAGGATCAAGGTCTTCTTACTCATAACTATATATTAAAAAATAAAGACTTCCCACCTATTGGCTTCCTAAATTCACCTGGACATCAAGTTGTTCTGAGCAGGATGCTGGTAGGCTCAGTGATCTATCTCTTCAGTTCAGAGGTGGTTACTTTTAAAGAACTAGAATAAGGAACAAGGGAGTTGGGAAAGAATAAAATAAGAGACAGTAACCAAAAAAAAAAAAAATCATCAAGATGTTCATAACACAATGTAATCCTTCATGAAGGAGCTTTGGTCCACGGTCGTCTGCTTCAGCTGCACCTGCAGAAGCCGCATCTGGGCCTGGAAATGATCTGGTTGGTTTGGCCATGGGTCCCCTGCTGGGCTAATTGCAGGAACAAAAGAAAGGGTAAAGCATTTCAGTGTGAGTTCCACCAGTAGCTATGGTGTGGAGCAGTTTGATCAGGAAAAGCCACATTTCTGAGCCAGTGCCTCGGTACCCCCAGACCCAAGCGTGCTCCACTTTGCTTCCTGGGAGTCGCTCCTCCACCCAGACCCTCACAGGCGCATGGGAGTAAACGCAAAGGATTTAATGATGCCAGCCAGATGGAAAACCCCTCCCTGGGACCCAACTAAAGAACTTGGGATTCTAGAAAGCTGTGAGAGTGTACTTGATCCACAAGGATGGCAGATGCCAGGACATAGTATAGACCCTTGTGATTGATCAGAGGGGAGCTGCAGTTTGTTCAGTTGTTGACCTCTGAAAGCTTTAAGTCAAGGACAGAATTATTTTTATCAAATATACAAAGTGGGGAGAGGTTTATCTTACTTTGCTATAAACTCAGAGTAGTAATCACAATTTGAAATTTTAAGAAGGCGACTGTGAGTAGGAGTCACAGACTAAGACAAATACCTTTCAAATAGTGCCAAGCAGAAACCTGTGTGTGCCAGACTTGGAAATTTGGCGTTAAAAAGCTGTTTATTTCATCCAGATTAATTTGCAAACATCACACACCTTTTACCTTTAGAATGAAGTGAAACTTAAGTTAGCACTTATCAGAAGATATCATTTACCCTTTTATTTTTTTACATTTTGAAACAACCTTGATGTGTTTTTTATGAATTGTAGATTGTGGGTTTTGGTGCTGTCTGAACTCAGAGAGAGAGAGGTGCCTTTCTTTGTATTCTTGGAGCAAAGCAGAAAGCGAACCCATGACTAGAAAGATAATATCAAGTAGGATATTGTACACATACCTGAGGGAGATAAGGTGGGGAACAGACAAACAGACCTTTCCGGGGGAGGAATGGGGTTCAGGGGAGCTCCACAATGAAGCAGATTTTTTAAAGCCCACTCCTTGCAAGTCCTTTCCCTCAAGCTGCAGTCAAATATTTGCATAAAGAGCTGATGAAGGATTCCAGCTTCCTGGTTCATGACTTTACAGCATGGATCGTTTTCAAAATGAACCCCGCCTCCTGTTTCAGCAGTGGCTGACTGCAACCTCACAGTGGCTCCTCTAAGCGAGTAAGACAGCCTGTAACCCAAGAGAGAGGTGTGGTGAGCTGGGCATCCCAGCACACAATCACAGGGCGATGTGGGTCCCTTTAAACTTTAAAGCCTCCGCCTGAAACAAACAGAAAAATCCTAAATTACTCTGTTAATACCATTAGCAATCCAACTGGAAGATGCAGGCTGCCTGACTAATAACAAGGAACAGTCTCGTAAACATCAGTATTTAAATAGAGTAGTGAGAAAAGCAGCTTCTAGGGAAAAAAAAGAAACATACAAAAAGCTGATATATTTCCTGGCCCTTAACTAGAATGTACATAGGTCCCAACTCACAGCAGTTTTAACCACCTATTTTTATCTCAGTGTTTCATAGCTATTAAGAATGTGAATGTAGGCATATTTTTGCTACCTAGGATTAGCAAAGTTAGGAATTAAGCTGCCAGGGAGTCCATGACAGTGTTGAGAAAAATGACTGACAACATCATAGGCAGTTGGGGTTTAAATATTAGCCTTTATTAATTTTAAATAGTTTACTCAATAGTTTACTGATTTTATTCTAGCTTCCTGCAGTATACAAATCATTTATATTAATTTTTACCAAAATTAATCATCTTTAAAATATAAGTATATTAGAATGTAAAATATAAGACATTATAATAGCAAAAAAAAAAAAAACATAAACAGCTGAATCTAAATAGCACACAAATTGGTCGTATTTAATGATGGCAATGTTTTTTTCAAAGAGAGAATCTAGCTTACCTGAGAGCAGAAGGCCACCCGTTTGTAATAAAACGCCTTAGCGTCCCTTTATAAGCCTGTGTTTCACTTGGTCTCACGGTCACGTTTTTGCCTTGGCAGCTGTCCGGAGGCAGCAGTGTCCACCACGCAGACCCGGTCGCCCCATCCTCTGCAGGTGAGTACAGCCAGCGCTGCAGTTCCTCAAAACTCTCTCAGAAGTTCGTCTCGGAAGTCCTTCAGTACTTGAATCGGGGGTTAAGACAGGCACCCCCATTTAATGGGAGGCCAGCCAATGGGAAGGCGTAAAAGGCAGGGAGTCCAGAGGCAAGCCCGGCAGGGGAACGAGGGCACGTCTGGTCCTCCGTTCTGGCCGTCTAGTCTCTGCTGTTTCAAGGGTTTGCATGTAGAGCAACTCCTCGTCTCCAAGTCACTAACTGGACTACAGGGCCAGAATTGTTCTCTGACACCTATCTGTCTCAGTGTGCCATTGCACAGGCCACCCAGGCCCTGTTCCTTTAGTTTCTAGCCAGCAGGGGCTTCCCTCCTCTTGTCTCTCTTTCCAGAAAGCCGTTCAAACAAGTGGAAGTTTTCTCAGCCCATTCTGAGCAACTATTACATAAACACTCCACAGTGAGAGAGGAAGGTCATCTATAAGGAAAGCCCTGCTTAGGGCAGCTCCCCTCTGAAGTGTCCTTTTCACATAATCTTAAAGGAATCTCGAGACTTGAGAAATTCCAGCATTCTGTCCTCCCTCTGATGGACATACTTTAAGCCTGTATTCTTGGAGCATTGAAGGAGAATAATCAGCCGTTGGACCTATTCATACTAAATTGAAAAGGGAGTCATGCTTTCAGGCTGGTTCTTGTTTGGTATTTAAACACTTAGTTTAATTCTGTTATCAAGTTAACATGTTCCCTAAGACAGCTTTGCTTTGTAATTTAAAACAAGTAGTACTTGGTTTGACTCTGCCTTCCTGTTTCCCATTTTTAAGATGTGCATGGCCAGTTGTAGCATTCCTCAAAAGTCACCACGCAAGTGTGAACAGTGCTAGGAGCCCCAAATCCAAGGAATTCTTTCCCATGGCATCAGAAATTTTCGTGAAGCTTCTAACAGCTCTGCAAGCCACTTTCCAGGGTTTACCTGAGCTGCAGGGAGGGGCTCAGGGTTGAGGCTTGTCCTCCAAGAAAGTCGAGGCTGGAGCCATTACTTGATGGTGACAGCTGGACACAGGTCAGCTCACCTTCTCTTATTTTTGCCTTCGCCCCCTTTACAGTCAGCCTCTGTGTTATTAGCCAGATTCACTTCACTGAGACTTACATTAGCTATAGCAACTTAAATCTAGATTCCCGAACTGTTTACTTCCCTGGGCCAAGTACTTTCTATTCCCAGGCAGCTTCCGTCCCCCCAGATGCACTAACTATTCAGAGATAGACTAAAGCCACTCAAATCCATAGGCACATTTTTTAAAACAAAACTCTGTCTTTTTCCTTTCTCTTCTAGGGCTGTATTTTGAACCTGAACCAATTTCTTCCACACCCACTTATTTACAACCCCGAGAATTTCCTAGTTGTGTTTCCTGTGAAGAAAACCCAAGCTACCTCGACCAGATCTTGGACTCCTACCTTCAGACAGAGATGCACCTGGACCCTCCGCTCAGTTCCATGCAAAGTGCTGTGCACTACTTCCCCGGCAGCTGCCAGGACGCCCCTCTCTGCTTCAACCAGAGCCTGGTATTGTTCTCAGTTCCTTACAAAACTTGAATATTGCTCACCCTGAGTGAGGGAGGCTTTGCATCCTCCCACAAATGCCATCAGCAAGGAGATCATCCAGAGAAACAAGCAGAGAACCATTTCAAAGGTAGAGCAGATACAAAGAGCCACACAGGTAAAGCTAAGTCAGCTGGTGTGTGTGTAGCTTTTTCTGGCAATCTTCACTTACCGGGTTTTTAACTGCAAAGTGAAGAACCACTACTGATTGGAAATTACTGATACAAGCAATGGCCCAGGGACTTCTGAGTTCTTAAAAGTGGAATGAAGGCTGCTTCTAAGCAGAACAAATGTCATTTGTGTTTAATGTATTTACTTTTACGAATTGTGCACAAGAATGCATGTGAGCATCAGGTGGCTCATGAAAAATTAAACCCTAGTACTTGAAAGAATGTGAAGGGTCTGGGCTTGATGGGCCTCAAGTGTTTGACTATCTATTGTTAAACACAGGGTAAGGTTTCATTGGTAGGTAGCAGTTGTTTGAGATGTCATTGTCTAAACCTTTGAAAACAAGTTCATAGAAGTAAGACACCAATACTTTTTTCTTTGGGTTAGTCAGAAGCCTGTGTAGGTGTCAGACTGAGTTACAAGGACATGGGAAAGTGACTCTACAGAGCATGCGTGCAGGCCCATCTTCTAGCCTGACCAAGGAAGGCTTTCTCAGTTACAGCTGTAGATCTGCTTCAGACAAAGCAGGGGGCATGTCTCTCCTCGGGGAGGCAAGACTTCAGCGATCGTAAGAGTGGTTTCCCCAGTACCAGATGGTCCAGGACCCCAATTCTAGCTCAGTATGTTCACCTTATTCTCTACGTCCAAGGTGCCACCTGCAGCTTAGATTGTGGCACCCAGCAGGATCTGATGTGCAGGTGACTTAAAGCACAATGGGATTTTGTGGTTTGAGAACAAAGCATCCTCTAAAGTATGGTTATAACAAAGGAAGCCAGTGAAGCAAGGCAATTTATTGTTGGGAAAGAAATAAGTAAATAGAGAATGTGGTATCATGGAATCATGCTGTCAGCAAATAAAATTACTTCTGCGGACTTGGGTTGGGTCAGGTGTTTTGTTATTTAGCTTCTTTTTATTTATTAAGAACATGATTCCATAATGTTCTTACTGGGTTAATAAATCTACTCCTTCTTTAATCCTTTCTAAGTTATAAAGCTCTTGGTTACTCGGTGTTTGCCTCTAGACCCCAGGATCGCCTTCAGATTCCTCCACTCTTTCTGGCTCCTTCGACTACAGTTACTCGCCCGGTCAGCTACCTTCCTATGCTCCCGAGAATTACAATTGCCCCCCTTCTCTGGACACCAGAAACTGTGGCTATGCCTCAGAAGATTACCCCCACATGCCGTGGCCTTCACACGCCCAGTACGACTGCTTCCCCTCCGGCAACACCGCCGTCTGCTGCTGTGCGTCCTGTGAGGCTGATCACCCGGACGGCTCGCAGCCAGCGGAGTATTTCCCCTGCCCCAGCACAGACTGTGTGGGCTTCGCTCCCTCAGCAGCGTCCACCAGTGATTTCTACACGAGGGAAACAAACTGTGACATCTGCTATAGTTAGTGGAAATCACATGGAACATGGTGTGCGTGCATGTCTCTATTTTTCTACACACCCAGTGACAGCACACAAAACACAACCTGTTAGCAGAACGTCACATTCGCAGGGTCCAGTCACCATTTTCAATTTTCTGAAACCCATGTAGGCGTGCATATGAAATTCTCAGCCCCTCATTATGCCACCCCCATTTTGTATGCTTACAGTTAACATTTTTGTAGGGATCATACCATTGTTTTACTTTTCTATGTAACGAACAAATTTTAAATTTTTTTACTAATAAATAATTTTGTATAACTAGATGTTGGCTCATATTCCCTTTTTTTTTTTTTTTTTCCCAAAAGTAACATCTAGTTGCTTGGATAATAGCAGTTAATCTGGAAATCATGAATGACTCTCTTGTATTTAATCTCACTGATGAATTATGAATTTAAAATGATTCTCATGTGGTGAGAAGCTCATGGGGGTGGAGTGCAGACCCAGCTGCAGTGGCAGAACAGGGACAGCTGGACTCACCTCTGGGCGAGGGGGGATCTTTTGGGGGAGACGTCACAGAAAGGCATTTAAGGATCACTAGGTTCTTATATCTACCACCAGTCCACGAAATGGCCACAGGACCAAAAAGTACATCTGACCTCTGGCAAGTTAACCTGCTGCTAATTTTCTTCCATTTCCAATGTTCTGTTTTGTAAACTTTCTAGGCAAGTTCTGGATTTGTTTTTCTTTTACCAAAAAATGCATGGCAGGGTCTAGAATTTGTTGCTGCCTTGCATTTCTGAATGTCTGCTTTAGTTCTTAAATACATACCAGTTGGGCTGACTGCTTGATGTACAGGACTGACACTGGCGTTTGCAGCTACCTGCCAGCACTTACAGCCTCCCATCAGTTGAATCAGTGCAACTGTCGGTTAAATGGAGAGGCGTCTCCTAGGCAACCTGTGCGCCAGGGTCCTGTGAAGCCCTGTTTGCTGCTGGCACTAAGGCCTCATGTCCCGAGCTTCGGCACCAAGGCAGCAGCACCAGTCCCACCGGCAGTGGCCAGGGCTGCCACTTTCTGAGCCTTCTCTACCAGAAGTAAGGGCTTTCTGGAACATCACCTCATTCCTGCTTCACATCAACCCTGTAACAAATGAGGCATCTGAGGCACCAGATGAATCCCCTGCCCACAAATACCCTGGTTCTAAAAGATGCCCAAACCAGACTTCATACCCACTCTGGTGGTGAGCGCTTTGAGTCGCCATTTGCAAAAGACCATTCAGGAAGTTGGAGACTAAATCCCCATTAAATCCCAACCTCCTCATCTACACAAAGGTGTGACGCCATCACAGGATTTGGAGTCAGAGCCCAGGAGGGCCAGACTGTCTGCAGGAGGCAATGGCGTGAGCAAGAGCTGGAGAGTGCCCCTTGGGGACCGCAGGAAGAGCAGCAGCCGCCACCTTGGTGATGCTCTTTCTACCAGGAGAAAGATCCTGCTCTGGTAGAGTGACACTGACAGTCCGCTCCGCAGGGCTCCGTGAGACTTGGGCAAACAGGTCGTGTTGTAACCTGCCTCCTGGCATGCTGTGCCAGGGAACAGAACAATTGCTGCTTTTCGGAGGCCAATAAAACTTTAGTTTTTAATCGTTTTGAACTAAATTGCAACTGGCCTGTTGTCAAAAAATCTCTCTTCCCACAGACTAAGCCCCTACACACCCTCACCCCCACCCCAGTGGCGTCCCCAAGGGACAAAGACTGGCAAACTCAAAATGTCCATTGGTTGGCACACATAGCCTCTTTGTGGACGCCTTGTTTTTCTTGTTTTCTTTGCCCATGTCCAGCCTCTGCCTTCTGGACTGGTTACCTTGCTGCTCTCACAGAGCATTTCCCCACAGCCCTGGTGCTGGTTCTTTCTTCACACATCCCTTCGTTCTCGTAATTCTAGTGTAGAGAAAGGTTCTCTAAGGAATGTGCATGTAGGGTTACCGTAGCTGCCTCCCATTACCCAACAAGGCCCCCTTAAACTGGTCTCTAAGATCTTTCCGGGAAGACGGGCCAGCAGGTTACCTGCACACTATGCAGGGTCAGAGGTGGCCCGAGAAGTTTCTGAGCCACGGCAGCTCACATACACCAGCTCGGAAGTCCCACAGCAACACAGGGGGTCCCCAAGTACACCCATCCCCACCCACCTGGGGAGCCGGATAAAGCACAGAAGCCTCAATGGGGGAAAGCTGCTTGTGTGAGGTTGGCTTCTCCAGTTTTTAAATGCACCTATGTTGTTTCTGATAAAGATTCTGAGACTGATGGTCCTTTGTCCACACTTGGAAACACTGGCATCTTCACTGTCCGGCTGGTTCAGCTACAGAAACCAGCAGCTCCAGCCAGCTGCCAGGGACCCACCAAGCACATTCTCCGGAACAACACACAGCAGGCTCTCCTTTAATCTTCAAAAACCACACAAAGTAGGTAAAATAGTGTGCTCGTTTTTATCCATCATGAAATTGAAGTTTGGAGAAAAGAAATAACTCACCCAAGGTCACAAGTGTTCATCATCCAAGGTCACAAGTGTTCTCCAGCTCAGGTTGTGTGATAACCACAGTCAGAGCATACAGTGGCCTCTGTAGAGTTCCTGTGCATTGCACTTGGAGAAATCAGCAATTTGGAATTGGATATTTTGCTTTAAAAGTCACATTTATCTCTGCAGCTGGTGTTTAATATGATTCTACATGAAGTGTAGTGAAAGGTTTTGCTATTTGAACAATAGAAATGATCCCTGAAAGTATAATCCTGAAAGGTTTTGCTATTGGGAACCACGAGAGAGATTAACAAACCAAATGCTAATTTGGTGCTTATTTTGTACCAAACTAATTCCATGCCTTCAAATGCCATTTCAATAATTTTCACAGGGAGAACCTCAGTTATGATGGGCATGGATTTTTGGAAAATTTAAATTACATTGACCCTTGAAGCCTGAAAAAGATAAGATGAGACAAAGTTGTGGGTAGTAAATATTGGAAACTATTACTTTAAGCGATGGCCTGGAGCAGGGACATCTTGGCAGCTGGCCTAAGCCTGCAGGTGGACATCAGGGAGCAAGGGAGCTAAAAGAAAGGAGGGGAGGGAGGCCCAAGTGGGCCTTTAATAGAAAATGTTTTTGAAAATTAAAGACACAGAAGCTAAAAAGAATTAAAAGCCAGTAAAAGTTGTGAAATAAATCATTTTCAAGTTATCAAACCATCTATAACACCAGCAGGTTAATTATTCAGATGAGTAATTAACTTTAAGGAAGAGCTCCTTGCCAGTACAGAGAAAGGCCTGAAGAGACTTGGTCTGTGGTGTATCTAGATGTTAGTGTGGCCAGACGGAGGCCTTTCTGGCAGAGGTCCTGTGCTTCAAAAGACTGGGTAATTTGTCTCATTTCTTATGCGCCCATAGGCCTCTAGGCAAGTTGTAGGGGCTGAGGCATGAACAAATTGGAGAAGACATAGTTGTGCACAGTAATAAAGCACCAAACATGGAGGACAAGAATCTGTGTCCGTTTAGAAAGCAGTTTCTCTTGCTTAGTGTCGACTGAGCATGTGCTGTCCTTGGGAGGTGTGTGTGAGAGAGAGACAGAGACAGAGAAACACACACACGCACACACACAGATCCTTACACTGCGTCCCAGATACAAGGAGGAGAGAGGACACATCTGTCCCCGCCTCTTCCCCAGAACGGCACCTGGAGTTAGTGCCAAAGCTCAACTGAACCGTCACACCAGGCCACCACCTGTCTCTCACATTGGATATTTCTGGTTGAATACTCTGGACTTCCAGAAGGGCTCTGCTGTGGCACTCTAGTCCTAAGACTGCTCTGATGAGGGTGACTCCTTGGCCATGATCCATCTGTGAAGGGCTAAGATAAGACTTAGACTCTGCTTGTACAAAGAATAAGGTATTCTTCAAAGGGCAGCTTATCAGAGGACAGGGGGAAGATGAAGAATTGGGGTGCATTCTTGGTTGGGCTTCCTGTGTGAGATTTAATCTGGGGGTACTTTTTTGGACAATAGGCTTAATCCCCTTTAGCATTATGTTTGAATTTGTCCCGCCCCCCACCGCCCCCTACTTCATAATTCCTATTGGAGTTGACGGCTGTTCTGTCGAGTCTGGATTCTACGGAGCTCTGGGTGGAAGCACAGAGAACAAGGCAAAGGGGCTTTACAACCAAGAGTGTCCTGTGCACCTCAGCAGCTCTGTTCCTGCAGAGCTGGGAGCAGCTGTGGAGAGGCTTGTGGCCCAGGGCAAACAGGAAGTGATCTGCAGCCAGTGAGTGACAAGAATCCTGGGATCAACTGAGAAGCAGCAGCCTCAAGCTACAGCCAGAGGATGACAATGCTAGAAGGAGGGGTTAGTTTGGTCACTCAGGTCAGGGTTAACTTTAGGGCAAATGAAAGAAAGTTTGCACATAGCCGATAGTAAACTTCAAAAAAAAAAAAAACACATTACCCTTACAGACTGAATATTTAAATAGTTTCAAGAAGGGTTGAGATTAATTTGACTGATAATATTTTAGGGCTGGAAAGAGACCCAGAGATCATCTAGTTCAGTGGTTCTTAACCTCTGCTGCACATTTCAGTGATTTTGAAAAACACTGACACCCAAGTCCCAGACCCAATGAGTTGCAATATCCAGAGTGGGATTTTGGCATTAAGGTTTTGGAGATTTTTGCTCTTAATTTTGAAGTTATAGAAGGCGGTGAAAATCATATATGAAGTTCTGTGTACCCTTTATCCAGTTTCCTTCAATTGTGAGTGACATCTTAAATACCTAGAGTACAATGTCAAAATCAGGAAGTTAGGACAAGTTTAATGCTATTAAGGAAAATATGGGTCTTACTCAGGTCTTTTTATATGTATACATTTGTGGGCCTGGGGGTTACTATGGCATAAGCACTAGTGTTTTTCTTTAACTCCCCAGGAGAACGTTCCCAAGGCACAGTAGGCTTAAAACCTAGTGGTTCTGTCCACACAGCCCATATCCCACAGGTGAGGAAATTAAGTCCAGAGTAATGAAGAGACCAAGGACAAGGCCATCTTCAGTGGGAAGGCAGTGGGATTACTTAGTCCAGAATTCTTGGCTGTGCATTAAATCGTTAGAGGTCAACAAGTTGCTATCGCAAAAATACTGACTGAGATTAGAAATAAGAGTTTAGAGGACACACATCTAACTTCCAAGTAATTTTAAGGGACAAAAATGAAACACCTTGGTAACCCTGCCACCCTCGTCAGATTATTGAAAG